AGGAAACAAATTAAAATTGTCATCCCTGTCGTCTCTGGTTGTTCCTCTTTTTTTGCAGTATGGTGCAGTGTTGATTACAGATTTGGGCAGAGCTTACTACAGATCGAAGAATCCTTCAGTGGGCATCCTGGCAGGAAAATTCTCGGTCTTATAGTCCACAAGTCACCCTCTCTATGCCCCAGAGGAAAGTGATGGTTCACCCCCCTGTGAACAAATATTGCCAAGAAAACCCCATGGTTAGGTTTGCCATAAATCAGAAATGACATGAAGGCAAATGACAACAATAGTGCTCTGAATTTATGGCTTAGGGCTTGGGCAAGTAGTCCTCCCTTCTTGCCACTGCCCAATGACTCCTGTTATACAGAAGGGAGATCCAAGGGCATAGGTCTGTATGCTATTTGTAGCCTCAGCTATAGCAGAATCACTGAATCAATAGGATTTACAAAATTGTTGAGTCACCATTCAGCTATGGATTTAATGGGTCTGCTCTAGTTAGCCCTAACCAATTACTATTCAGGTTATAGATTCTCAGTTATGTTCCCATGAAGGCATTTGGTATACTGATGGAGAATATGGAACTGAGAGAGATCTGGATTCAGAGTATAAGTAAGTTATGGATTTCCTTTTTGGAACTTGGCATTTTCTCTTAACCTCAATTTTCTTACCTTTAAAATGAGAAAACCTGTTACCTACACACATTACACAATTATTTCAGAATGAATAGTATAAGGAAGTTATTTTACATGTCATGCACCATAAGGAGTGTACACTGACTGCAAGATTTGATTTGGTTTCTTCCTTGGTAATCTGCAATGCAATCTATTGCAGCTGGGTCTGTTGTGGAGACCATTCAGCTGGCCATAGGTACAAGTGTAAAGATATATAATTGAATAACAAAGTCAGGATCATCCATGCCATAGTATTTCCAGTTTCTATGCATGGAAGTGAAAACTGGATGGTGCAGAAAACTGGACAGGGAAAAAATCTGACAGGAAGAAAATCAGCTCATTCCGATGCAGTGTGGGAGGAAAGATCTAGAGATACCATATACAGTGGGCCCTTGGTATCTGCTGGGGTTTAGTTCCAGGAAC